ACCCCGGCACGCGCCCCCGGGGCCCTGTGCAAGACCGATCCCCGAGCCTTGTCCCCGGGCGACGACTCCCCAAGGACCCGGCTTGCTTTTGGGCAAAATGGAGGTCGGGAGGGCCCAGGCCCACGGCGCTTCGCAGCGCGGCCCCAGCCCGCGCCTTCCAGCCGCCAGAGCCGAGGACCCCCCTCCGTCCCCTCCCTGTCGCCTCGCTAGACCTGCGGAGGCGGTGACGCCCCCCGGCGGTGTTGGGGGCCCTGGGCTCTGTGTCCCCCGGCTCCGGGGGCTGCCGAGGGGGCGCTGGAGGGTGATGGGGACTGAGGGCTGGGAGGGTCGCCCCCGCCCCCAGCGGCTTCCTCCTGGCCTGGGCTTGGCAGCAGGGAGGAAGAGGCTTTGTCCGTGCCCGGTGTGGGTGTGGGTGTGGGTAGGGGGCTGTGCCCCCCACCTTTAGACAGCTGATCTTGGAGCGGGTGTGTGTGTGTTGGGGGGGGATATCCGTGGGGAAGAGGAACGCCCAGCGCCTGGGGGAAGTGGAAGCTGGGTGGGGGCGCCCGGGGCGGCAGAGTGCACGGCCGGATCACACAGGTGTCCGAGGGGGGCCCGACGCCGGGTCCGCGGGGCCGGCCTCCTGGGGTGCCGAGGGGGTTCCGGGCCGCGCCGCCTGGGGCTGCCCGCCGGCGCCTGGGAGAGAGCAGCTCAGCGCCTCGGGGCCGCGGGCCTCTCTTTGGAGCCCTAATTACTGGAGAGCGGCTCCCCCGGGCTTCCCGCGGGCGCGGCGCGGCGCGCCGGGCGGCCCCGGGGCCGGAGGGAACCGTGGCGTGGGGCTGCCAGCCCCACCCGCGGCGGACGGCTAATGGAGCGCAGCCGGCTCGGGGATTATCCGGGGTGAGCCGTCCCGAACCTATTAGGGCCCAATCGGCTTTTCCCAAATCCTGTAAACAGCCACCCCGGCCGGTTCTGCAGAGAGGCGGGAGGCTGGGTCGGGCGGGGGCGATGGGGCCGGGGGTGGGGTCACCCACCCTACAGGTCTCTGCCGTGGATGCGGTTGCCTTGGCAACGGGGCTCGGGTGGGGGCACTTCTCCAATGAGGTGCTCTCAGTCCGGGTGACGGTTGCCTAGGCAACCCCACGAACAGCCCAGCTTCCCCCTCTAGTCTCCCCCCCACCACTGTCGAAGCTGGGGGTGTGTGTGTGGAGGGTGTGCGGCGTGTGGGGGTGAATTTAAAGAGGCACCGCCCCTTTTAAAATTAGGTGCTTGGAGGGCGGTGCCTGTGCAGGCTGGGGCGGACGCCAGGTCTGTTTTCTAAGGGACTCTCTCCCCCCCAACCTCCACCCCCCCCCAGTTCCTGCCGCGGGTGTCCCGCCCGGGCCGCTGTCCGAGGGAGGGGTTTCCCCTGCGTTTCCTCTTGCACTTCCCGCTCCGTTTCCGGGGGGTGGGAGGAAGATTGGGGAAGTGGGTTAGTCCCCCCGCAACGTCTGTCCTGTGCCGGGGACCCCGCTCCGGCTGGGGCGGGGAACGCGGCCGCCGCCCCTCCCCCTCCCGGTGCTTACCCCTTCCGGGCCGCCCTCCCACCCCGCCTTTCCCCCTTCTTCCTCGGCGGCGGCCTTGGAGCTGACGTCAGCCCTGCATCCCCCAGGCCTCGGGCCAGCGGCCAGGAGCTGCCTCCCCCAGCCCCCGTCCCGCGGCCCCCAGCCGCCCCCAACCCCGCCCCACGGGCCCGCCGCCATGAGTGAGCTGGAGCAACTGAGACAGGAGGCCGAGCAGCTCCGGAACCAGATCCGGGTGAGGGCCTGGCCGGCTGGGATGGGGAGGCTGAACAGGCAGGGTGGAGCGGCCTGTGGGTGCTGCTGCCAGTGCCTGGGGCGGGCTGGGGAGAGTTTCTGGGGCGGGGAGGGGTCCCTGATGGCTCAGTGTCACCTGCTCCCTCTTGCCTCCTGTTTTCTTTCCTCTTTTGCCTCGGCCCTCCCCCACTCCTCCTCTCATGCTGCTTTCTGGTTCTGCCCGTCTTGCAGGATGCGCGGAAAGCATGTGGGGACTCGACACTGACCCAGGTGAGGTGACTCTGGGGCTGGCTGGGGCCGGGGTGGGAGGTCCGAGGCCTGCTGCTCCGTGGGCTTCTGCCTGGGCCTCCCTGAGCCTGTCCCCTCCACCTGCAGATCACGGCTGGGCTGGACCCAGTGGGGAGAATCCAGATGAGGACACGGAGGACCCTCCGTGGACACCTGGCAAAAATCTATGCCATGCACTGGGGGACGGACTCAAGGTGTGTGTGTGTGTGGTCGGACTGCAGCTCTGGGCTGAGCCTGGTGCTCCAGGGCTCGGGGCGGGGGTATCTGTAGGGGTCAGCCCCAAAGGTCTGATGGGAGCAAGAGGGGGTGTATGGGAAAACCGTGGCGAACAGGGCCATAGGAACAGGGGCGTGCGGGCTTCTTGTCTCAGAAGGGACCCCCCCCCCCTTCCATGGGAGGGCCTGGGTGAGGCTGTTCTCTCCAGAGGAGGGCTTCACACTCTGCCCTCTGCCCCCACCAGGCTGCTGGTCAGCGCCTCCCAGGACGGGAAGCTCATCATCTGGGACAGCTACACCACCAACAAGGTAGAGGGAGCGGGAGCTGGGGTGGGGCTGGGCTGCAGGGCCTTGGCCTTGGCCTTGGCGGGTTCTGACGGGCCCTGCCCCCCTCCTCAGGTCCACGCCATCCCGCTGCGCTCCTCCTGGGTCATGACCTGTGCCTACGCACCCTCAGGGAACTTTGTGGCCTGCGGGGGTCTGGACAACATCTGCTCCATCTATAGCCTCAAGACCCGAGAGGGCAACGTCAGGGTCAGCCGGGAGCTGCCTGGCCACACTGGTGAGAGGGGCCTGGCTGGGCACAGGCGCTGGGGGTGGGGGGTTGTGCCGCGGTTCCTATTAAGACCTGGCTGACTGCCCTTCTCCCCAGGGTACCTGTCTTGCTGCCGATTCCTGGATGACAACCAAATCATCACCAGCTCTGGGGATACCACCTGGTGAGGCCCCGCCAGGGGGAGGCAGTCTGGGCCGAGCCACCTGTCCTGCCTTGGTGCCCACGTCGGTGCTTGGCAGGCAGGTGCACCCTGGGCGAGTGAGGCTGTCCAAGCAACTAGCCCTGCCCCTGCTGGTGGGCCCCCCGGGTGCCAGCCCCCCCACCAGAGGCTCCCAGGCCCTTCCAGAGCCCTCTCGCAGGCACGAGTCTGATCCCTTTCTCCTCCTCTCCCCTCTCCAGTGCCCTGTGGGACATTGAGACAGGTCAGCAGACCGTGGGTTTCGCTGGACACAGTGGGGATGTGATGTCCCTGTCCCTGGCCCCCGATGGCCGCACCTTTGTGTCAGGCGCCTGCGACGCCTCCATCAAGCTGTGGGACGTGAGGGACTCCATGTGCCGACAGACCTTCATTGGCCACGAGTCTGACATCAACGCCGTGGCTGTAAGTCCTGGCCCCTCTCTCCCAGACCCTGGCCCCCCCGCCCCGCCGAGCCTCACACACACACACACATACCCTGGCCTGTTGTCTACAGTTCTTCCCCAATGGCTATGCCTTCACCACGGGCTCCGACGATGCCACGTGCCGCCTTTTTGACCTGCGGGCCGACCAGGAGCTCCTCATGTATTCCCACGACAACATCATCTGTGGCATCACCTCCGTCGCCTTCTCACGCAGCGGCCGGCTGCTGCTCGCCGGCTACGACGACTTCAACTGCAACATCTGGGATGCTATGAAGGGTGACCGCGCAGGTGAGGCTGGGTGCTGAGGCCAGCTGCGCGGGGGGTCCCGGCTGCAGACCTGACGCCCCTCTCCTTCCCAGGTGTCCTTGCCGGCCACGACAACCGAGTGAGCTGCCTTGGGGTCACCGACGATGGCATGGCTGTGGCTACAGGCTCCTGGGACTCCTTCCTCAAAATCTGGAACTAACTGCCCCAACCCCAGCTGGGCCCAGGCCGGGAGGGGCCCTGCCCACGCCCACACTACAGGCCGGGAGCTCTGGGGCTGGGTACACGATGAGCCTCCCTCCCCGGGCCACGGGGCCTTGGGTCCCTGCTCCCTCACCCAGGTTTGGTTCCTCCCGGGGCCCCCCACTGCAGAGATAAAGATGGGGATGGAATGGGGGAGAGGAGGGGCAGAGAGCCCGCATCCTTTTGCTGCCCTGGGGTCAGGGCCTCACCCCTCTGGAGGGCCAGAGGCAGGGGGTGGAAACCCTAGGGGCTGGCTTTTTTAAAACTGGTTTTATTTTAATTTTTATTATATTTTCAGTTTTTCCATAAAGGAACCAATTCCAACTCTGTACATGTGTCTTCCTCATTTGTCTCTGCCACCTCCGGGCAGTCAGCTGGGGGTGCGGGGTCCAACAAGCAGCAGGCTCAGCAGGTGAACCTCACTCGTCCTCAGCACAGGCTAAGTCAGAGGTAAGGGAGGTTCTTTGGAAAGGCAGGCACATCCCGTTCACTGTTCCCTCCCAAGCGCCTGTTGTACACAGGGCTGGACTGCAGCCAGAACTCCATCCGGATCTCCCCCATGGGTGGCAGAGGCCCAAGTGCTTGAGCCGTCACCTGCTGCCTCCCAGGGTGTGCATTAGTAAGAAGCTGGAATCTCAAGTGGTGCTGAGACTCAGACCCTGGCCCCAGGCCGGGCTTTTTTAATATTCACTTGAGAGGCAGAGGCAGAGAGGTCTGCCATCCGCTGGTTCACTCCCCAAATGGCCACAAGGGCCAGAGCTGGGCCAACCCAAAGTCAGGATCCAGGAGTTTCCCCCCGGATGCAGGGACCCAAGGACTTGGGCCATCTTCTACTGCTTTCCAGTAGAAGGCCGTGGCAGAGAGCTGGATCGGAAATGGAGCAGCTGGGACTTGAACTGGTACCCATATGGGATGCTGGCACCCCAGGCTGCTGCTTGACTGCACGGTTGTCTCCCTTAGGGAGCTCATCTGCGGTCCCTGCCTGGGTTCTTTAACCAGCTCCCTGTCCCTTCCCCAAATAAGACAGCAGCTCAGGCATACGAGGAGAACACACACCGAGTTTTATTGGGAGAAAGGGGTATTTACAGGGGCAGGTAAAGGAAAAGGGGGTCACACAGGGTGGAAGTGGGGGAGACTGGGGACAAGGCAGACGAGGGAATAACAGGTAGAGCCCTGCCCCAACCCGAACCCCTGCAGGGTGGGGGAGCAGCCAGGGCCCAGGAAGACGGGCTAGGAAAGGCCAGCAGGGGGGTCTGAGCCCTTGGGCTGGGGCGCTCAGGGCTTGTAAACATTGACCACTCTCAGAAGGGGATAGGGGTGGGAGAGGGCTCCCCCTATACTTCCTCACAGGGTTAAGGCCTCTCCAGGCTCAGGGGCCCCCTAAGTTCAAAGTCTCTTTAGCTGAGGGGGGAAGGGGCAGGAAGAGACAGGAAGAGCCCCCCCTTCCCCTGCATTGGCTGTGGCAGGGGCAGGGGCGTTACATTCAGTCACAACAGGAGTCTCCTCCCACACCTCTAAGCCACCGCACATAGGCCAGAGGGCAGTGGGAGCTGGGGGGCCAGCAGCAGCAAGACATTTTTCCCCCTGGCCCGTCACCCCCTTATTGCTTTAGAGAGAATATTGTCTTTTCACAGACGCTAACACTGTCGAGACCAGGGCGCAGCAGGTGGAGGGGCCCTTCCACCCCGAGGCCAGCTTTGTCCCCCAACACTGACCCGGCTGCCACTTTGGTGCAAAAAAAAAAAAAAAGAAAGAAAAAGAAAAGCCGTCTCACTGAGGAGAGATGGGAGAAGAGCCCGGGGCAGCTCCCTGCTTCCCCAGGCAGGAAGGGGAAATACATTCATGGAGGGGAGGCAGCGGCAGAGTCCCGCCCTAATACTGCACTCAGCGATGAGGTCAACGGGAGAAGTCAGATGAGAAATCCAAAAGATGAACTACTAAGAAACCAAGAAACGATGGCGACAACCCCAGGTAGGGCATCGGGAATTCAAAGTGAGCGACAGAAGGGCGGCCTCCCCCGACCCCAGGAGAGACGCCCACTTCCGTCCTCGACCCCAACCTTACCTAACATTAAAAAAACGCATCAAGGGGAGAAGCCACTCACTCCTCTCCCATTTGGTCAACAGAGGGGCCAGGCGCAGGGCTGGGTGGTCCACAGGCCACAGGGCACGCTGCAGCTCGGGCACTTCCTCGCGTGGATGCCCAGGGCTGCAGCCCCCAGCTGCCCGCCCACTCCCTGCCCTTCAGTCTGTGCGGCTCGGCGGCGCTCTCTCCAGCTCCTGGCCATTCGCTGGCGGGGGTGAGGCGGGGGCTTGGGGCCCGGAGAATACATTCATGCCCCGAGGCAGGAGCTGGGGCATTCCGCCTCACCCCCAGGCCGTCCCCCAAATGGCAGCGGTGGGGGAAGCCCCTCGGCAGGGCCAGTCCATCCCGCGTCCCGCCGCCAGCCCCAGCCCGCGCAGCTCTTCCCCGCTGCCCTGCCAGCTGGTGCGGGAGGGCGGCCCGGGAGCCGGGCGGCTTGTCCAACTTGTGCAACTCTCCCCGAAGCAGCAAAGCCAAGGGGTGACTGCGGCCCCCGCCCGGGACGCCCTGGCCACGGTCGGCCACAGTCACAGCATCGAGCTGTTCACAGCGGGTCCGGCGGGCGGGGCTCCGAGGGGGCCTCGCTGTGCAAACTGCTGGCACTCCAGCTTCCAGTTACCCCACGGCCCACCTTCTGGGGGCAGGAGGGGAAGTGCAGCCATGGGGCCTCTGTCCTCACTGCCCCAAAATAACAGTGTGTTTTCCTTTCAGCCTCCTAACCACTTTTTTTTTCATTATTTTTCTTTTTTTCTTAAAAAACAACAACAACAAAAAAAACAAAAAAAAACAAAAAAAAACCAACCAACCTCTGTGGACCTTCCATTGTCACGCCCACTATCCCCAACAGGGGACAGGGTGTTTAAGAGTCTCATTTTTCACGATGTTTTTTTTGTCTCTCCTAACATTTTCTTCAACGTCGTTTAAAATAAAAAACAGAAAACAAAAACCCCTCCCCCAATCTGTAAAGTGCCTCGTGGTGGGTGAGTTAAGGTGCATCGTGTGGTTTGTAACAAGTGCTGGGGACCCTGCCCCTGCTGCCTCCTATGCTCCTCTGAGGAGCCTGCAGGCTGGGGACCCTCGGGTCCAAGCTGCGCCTGCAGCCCCGGGGGCTGGTGGGACGGGCTGCTCAGTAGTCGTCCACGCTCTCGATCTCACCAGAAGATCCGTGCAGGGAGTACCCTGAAGCCGGGGAGAAGCTGGGTTTGAGCTCCACCAGGCCCCTCCTGCCCCGGGCAAACGAAGCACAGCTCCGGCCCGGCCCCGGCCCCGGCTCACCCAAGATGCTGGGGTCTGAGTGCAGCATGAGCGCCCGCCTCTTGGCCTTGCTGCCCTCGCCGGGGCCGAGTTTGGTGCTGTGGTTGGTCTGGAAGGCCGTGTGCAGGGAGGCACTGCTCAGCCAGGCCTCCTAGGAGAGCGGAGCAGAGTGAGGCAGCAGTGGGCGCTGGGCGGCCTGCCCCGCGGCCCAGGGCCCCACGACCCACCTGCTGCTGCTGCTGCCGCTGCTGGCTGGCTTTCTGCTTGGCCCTCCGCTCCAGGAACTGTTTGGCAAATTCTTTGGCTTCCAGCGTGTCCCCCAGGCAGGAACGGATATAATCATGGACGTCATAGGGGGATTCCACCTCTTTGAGGATCGCCACAGCCATGGGCACTGCGGGGCAGGAAGCGGGGAGTGAGGCCCGCTGCAGCCAGCCCTGGCCCCCCCCCCCCCCCCCGGGCTGCAGCCGCCCGCACCGTCCAGGCTGCCCGTGGTGCTCAGCGTGTGCAGCATCTGCTCACACCACTGGGTGAAGCCGTCCTGGGGCCTGGGGATGCCCTGAAGCAGCTTCAGCAGCTTCTCCTCCTCCTCCGTCTTTTTGCGAGCAGGCCGGCCTGACAGGTGGCTGTAGGAGTCACTGAGCGGGCCGAGGAGGGGCAGGCGTCAGCGGTTCTGCCGCCACCCGCCTGCGCCCACCGGAGCCCTCGGGGTGCCCGCACCCACCTGAGGGACGGGCTGCTCCGGCTGTTCTTCAGGCCCAGGCTGCGGGCCAGGCTCCCACTGCTCTTCAGGGTGTCCTCCCAGAGCCCCAGGCCGCCGCCGCCGCTGCCGCCCCCACTCTTGTCGGGCCCGCCCCACAGTGGCCCAGCCTCAGACACCCACTGGTTCAGGGGGGCCGTGCCCAGGCCCCCAAGCTGCTACAAATGGCAGGCAGTCAGGGGAGCTCAACCAACGGCACCCCAGAGAGCTAGATGGGGAGGTTTAGGTGGCAAAGGACAAGGGACGAGGTGAGGGTCCTGGGGAAGAAGCGGATTCTTCAAAACCACACAGGGAAACCAGGGCTCCGGCTGGCGAAGTCCGGGCTCAGCGACTCCCTCCCTGGAGGTCACCTGGAAGGGGCCCCGCCCACCGCGGAGGGGCCCGCCTACTTACCACGCGGTGGTTGGGGGCCTGGGCCCGGGAGGACTCCCTGGGCGGGGGCTGCTTGTGCAGCTGCCGCTCGCCCTCCAACTGCAACTCCAGCAGCGTCTTCATGGACAGCCCCTGCTTGGCCAGGCCAGCCCAGAGCGGGGGTGGGGAGCTGGGCGCAGGGGGCCCCGAGATGGCGGCCGCCGCCTGCTGCTGCTGCAGCAGCTTCAACAGCAGCTCCTGCTGCCGCACCTGCACGGAGCCGAGCCGGAGACGCGCAGGGTGAGGGCCAGGCGGGGCGCAGGGTGGCGGTGAGGAGGGTGTGGGGGGGGCACCCACCTGCTTGCGCCGGTACAGCTCCTCCTCCTCCTGCCGCCGCTTCTGCTCCTCCTGCTGCTGCTGCTGCTGCTGCCGGCGCTTCTCCTCGCGGCGCTTCCGCTCCTCCTCCTCCCGCTTGGCCCTGAGCTCCACTTCTCTGCGCTCCTGGAACTGAGAGCCGCAGGGCGTCAGAGGCGAGGGGGCTCGGCCTCCGTGCGGCCTGGCCAGCCCCTCACCCCCGCAGACGGCAGCCCTGGACGCCACTCACTTTATGCTGCAGCTGGAGTTGTTCTAGAATTGGACCCTGAGTCGAAGAGTTAATTGGTATGTCCCAAAGACTGGCCTCACCACCTGCAGGAGGTCAGGGCTCCGTCAGCTGCTGCCAGGGACGCGGCCCGCTGTTCAGCCCAGCCTTGGCTCGGGGTAGGAGGCGGAGCAGTGGGAAGCCACCTCAGCCCCAGGGCCCTACGTGCCCAAAGCCTGCCAGGGAGGGAGGCGGCCACGCTGAGATGGTGGGGACCCAGGGCTTGAGAAAGGGCCCGGGTGGAGGGCCGCTGACCACGCACCTGACTGTGATGAGGCTGAGGTATGTACGTCCCAGAGGGGGCCCGAATCCGGTACCGACAAGGACCGGCTCATCGTCGGGAGCAGATTCTGGTCCCCACCCCTGAGGAGCAAACAAACCCTCAGGACCCTGGCTCACTGCCGCCCACCCTCTCTGAGCTCCACACCCCGGGGGCAGCGGCACGGACCTGGGGGGTTTGAGAGCCTGGAGCTGCTGCAGGAACGTGGTGAGCTGCTGCTGTGGAGGCGGCGTCAGGTCGCCCATAGCTGCCTTTTCCCGGAGCGCGCACTGCGGGAGCTGGCGGCTGCAGAGACACGGGCAGGGCAGTGGGCCCCAAGAGCCAGTGCCCAGCCAGCCTGCCAAGCTCGCCCGGGGCCCCAAATACCTGCCAACCAGCTGCAGAAACTGCTGGTGCTGCAGCTGCTGGTACAAGGCCGCCGCAGCCAGCTCCTGCTGCTTCTTCAGCCGCTCCTGGTCCATGTTTCCCTGCGTGAGAGGATGCCCAGTGCACACGGCGGCCACCATCAATCCCCGCCTGCCCACCTCCTCTGCAGACAACTCGGCTCACCAGGAGGGGGGGAGGCGAGGGCCCTGGGGCGAAGGGCACCCGACCCCACATCTTGATCACTTCTCCCAGAGGCTGGAAGCCCTCGTCGCAGCCCCGCTTCACCAGCAGAGACATGGAGAAATAGCCGGCCTGGAACCACTCGGCCATCTCCTGGGTTGTGAAGGGGCCTGCGACAAGAGAGCCATGGGAGTCGGGGGGGGGCACACCTGGAGCTGGCGCGGCCCCCAGCAGCCCCTCACGCCTCTGCTGCTACCTTGGATCTCCCCCTGTGGGTCCTTGTAGAACCACTTGCGGGCAGCGCCGTGGCTGAGGGGGAGGGCGGTGGCGGCCGCGGTGTGCCGCAGGCCCTGGGTCTGCATGGCGGCTGTGAACTGCTCCTCTTCCAGGGAGCTGTCCTGCAGGGAGGCCACCAGCTTCTCCGCCTCCTGGGAGCCCAGGAAGAGAGGTCAGGCTCAGCCGCCTCGGCATGGGGCTGGGGTTGGGGTCAGGAGGCCAGGGTGTGGACAAGGCAGGACACAATTAGGAAAAGGCTGGAATCTGGGACGGGGACAGGGGCACAGCGGCTCTCTGTGGCCTTGGAAGCGAGGGTCTCTTGTGCTGTCAGGCGCCCCCACACCTGCTGCAGGTGCTTTAAGCCCTCTTCATCCTCCAGATCTCCAGGCGGGCCAGGGGGTGAGGCCCCCCCAGGACTCAGCGGGATTCCCCTCATCTCATCCCCTGGGAAAAACAAACAGAAAAAGGTGGGATGGGAGGCAGGAGGGGGGCAGCCTGGCCCCCTACCCCTGCCACTCCAGAAGAGCGGGCCCTCTGTAGCCCCCACTGCACATGCCCAGTGTACCCCCCCTCGAGGGGCGTGCCTTCCCTACCAGCCCCCGCCCCCCGACCTTCAGCAGCTGGAAGCTCTTTTTCCACAGCTTCTTCCCCGTCTCCATTGGTTCCCCAGAGCGGGCCCAAGGTGGCCAGAGGCGACGGGGAGCTGGACTTGTCCTCCTGCAGAGGAAGCGGGGTCAGCTCCTTCCCACCTGCAAGAGAGGGGTGACAGCGGGGCTGAGACCCCAAGAACGGGGGGCTGGACCTGGAGTTCCCACAAGAGGCAGCAAGTCCCACTTGGTCCGGGGGGAACACGTGAGCATAAACACAGCCAAGGGCCACACCGCAGGCAGGGCCGTCACACGTCGGGCCCCCAACACCTGCTCCACAGCCGCGGCGAGGGCCTCTGTCGGCTGCGCTACCTTCAGGAGCTCGATCTGCTGTTCCCGAGTCTCTCCCTCATCTCTCAGCACCAGCTCATCTGATCCTAGCAGCAGGGGCCGCGGGACAGCCTGTGACGGCCCCCTGCCTGCCTGGCACCCCCCTAGCCCACGCCGACACTCACCTGCCTCAGGTCCCTCCTCCTCCAGCCCTTCTGAAGGCTCCTCCTCCTCTTCCTCCAGACCCTGGAAGTCAAGCTCCTGCTCCTCTGGAATGGGCTCCTTGGGGCCCTTCTGTGGGGGTGGGGGCGGGGCAGACGTGTGGGTGGAGGGCGCAGTGGCCACGCCCCCCGGCCGAGCACAGGCTCCCCAGGTACCTTGAGAGGCAAGAAGGCCCCAGAGGCGTCGAAGGTGCCCATCTCCTCCTCCTCATCGTCCAGGCACCACTCGGGGAGCCCGTCCTTGTCGTCCTCAAAGCCGTCAGGCCCGCGGCCCCGCCGGAGGTGGGAGGCGCCTCCCCCGCCCCGCCCCTCCTCTTCACTGCAGCTTCCTCGATCCCCGCCTCGCAAATCAAACTCAAATTTGCGCCGCCGCTCGCCATGCTCCCGCCAGCCTGCAGAGCGAGGGCCGCCATCTGGGCCAAAGTCAGAGAATTAGCATCTGAGAGCGGGCAGGGCCTCCCCTCCTCTGCAGCGCACCAGACCCTGCAGGGCCAGGTCTGCTCCCAGCCAGCTCCGCCCGCCCTCACCGTGCTGCCCATGCCCCAGTCTCACCAGGGCTGGTGCAGCGCCAGCGATCTCCGTCCCGCCGGGGCCCCGCCCCGAGCCTCCAGCTGCCCTCCTCCTCCTCCTCCTGCTCCTCGCGCAGAGAGCGCCAGTTCTCACTGTCGGAGCGAGCGTGCTCCTTCCTCGGGCCGGCCCCGCCCTCCTCAAACCCGGATCGCGCTGAGCACGGGGAGAGACGGTCTTCAGAGGGCAGCCGGGCCAGCAGACTCCTGCCAGTGCTCCTCCTGCGGCGGAGGAGCCACAGCGGCCGCGCCCCTACTGCGCCCCCACTCCACCCCGGGTCGCCCGGCCAGGTCCTCGCCTTTTCCTACCTCCATCCCTCCTTGCTGACTTCTCAAACCGCCTCTCACCTCTGCAGGAAGAAAAGGGGCTGTTCAGAAAAAGGACAGTGTCCCTTCCCACACTGCAGACAGCTGTGCACCTCGTCCACTCTGCCCCGAGAAAGGTGGAGAGGGGACGGGGGGAGGGGGGGACAGGGCACACAGGATGGAAGGTCACAGGAAGAAAGGAAAGACAGTGGGGGGTGGCACTGTGGCGCAGCAGGTAAAACCCTGGCCCGCAGCACCGGCATCCCATACGGGCGCCAGTTTAAGTCCTGGCTACTCCACTTCCAATCCAGCTCCCTGCTAATGCACCTGGGAAAGCAGCAGAGGATGGCCCAAGCACTTGGGCCCCTGCACATGCACATGCATGCACGTACGTACGCACACACACACACATACACACACCCATAGCAGACCCCGAAGAAGCTCCTGGTTCCAGATTGGCTCAGCTCCAGCCATTGCGGCTATTTGCGGAGTGAACCAGCAGATGGAAGACTAATCTCTCTCTACCTCTCTCTGTAACTGTCTTTCAAATAATTAAAGTAAATCTTAAAAAAAAAAAAAAAAATCAGGATAAGGGGCGGGGCAGGGCCCAGAGGTCTCTGACCAGGGCTCCCTGGCAGGGCTGCCCGTACCTTCCCAGCGGCCCCCACCTGTCATCCCAGCTCTGGCTGCGCTGGATCTCCCGGGGGTTCCGTCCAAAGGCCCCCTCCCCTTCTTCGATGCTTCTTTGGTAAAAGCAGCTGTCACCTCGGCCACGGCCTAGGGAAGAGGGGACACACCTGGGTGTGAACCTTGCCAGGACACGCCTGCGAGTGCTCAGGCTCCAGCCATGCCCACCCCCCACCAAGCAGTCACCCCTGTACCTCGGCTCCGCGAGCTGCCCCGGCCACGGGAGGTGCTGGCCAGCGGGGGGCCAGCCCCTTTCCCCATCAGCCTCAGCACAGCCACGCTGTTCACTGACAGGGAGAAGTTTCTCTGAGGAGGGAGCCAGGGCGGGAATGAGGACCCAGGCGCCCGGCCGCCCCACCTGTCCTCCCACACCCCCACCGCAGCCCCGCCCACCTGCTCCTCCTCTGTCAGGGGCTCCAGGGCCAGCGGCTGCAGCGGCTCCTCCTGCAGCACCGCAGCGAACTCCTTGTCCTGCAGCTCCTCAGGGACCTGCCGGATGGGGCTGGTGGGTCACGGCGCGAGCAGTGGAGCCACAGCAACCCCCCCCAGCCCCCACCTTGTTCTCCAGCTGCCCCAGGCCACGAGCAGTGGAGCCACAGCAACCCCCCCCAGCCCCCACCTTGTTCTCCAGCTGCCCCCGGCCATGAGCAGTGGAGCCACAGCAACCCCCCCAGCCCCCACCTTGTTCTCCAGCTGCCCCCGGCCATGAGCAGTGGAGCCACAGCAACCCCCCCGCAGCCCCCACCTTGTTCTCCTTGACATAGAGGGCCAGCATCTCCTCGCGCCCGTAGCGGTAGTCAGCCAGCTTGTACTTGGGCATGGCAGGGGAGGCGGGCGGGGAGGCCACACTGCCGCCGCTGGAAAGGGCCCTGAGCCTGGAACAGGTTGGGGGGGGCAGAGGAGGACGAGGCTGGGGCGCAGTGCTCTCCTCCCGGCCCCCCCACACCCGCCACCGCACACTTGACCCACCACTCGGGCCCGAAGTTGAGCGTCTCCGCCGCCATGCTGAGGCTGGGTGTGGCTCCTGGAGGTCAGGGGTGAGTGACGAGCAAGGACCTGGGCTTCACGCTCCAAACACCTGTGGAGCAGAGAGGAGGCCGGACCCTGGGGACACTGGAGAAACCTGCAGCATGGGCGACCGGCCCCGCGGGCACAGGGACAGGCTTTGGGCTGGGCTGGGTCACCCAGCTTCTGAAAGGACTCACCTACACCAGCCACGTGGCTGCACACACCATGAGTTAACCCAAGAAGAGTTCAGGTGGGCAAGACCTGGGGGCTGGAGGCCTTTGGTGGTCACAGCCGTGCTGCCTGGGCCCAGCCTCGCCCGGCAGCCTTGCCCCTGGGCAGCGGGAGGGCAGGGCTGGGCTCTCTCCGGAAAGGGCCGACACTGGAGTGAACTCGGGTCCTCAAGCCACTGGCTATCTGTCTGGCCTCAGCAGTGTCCGGGAGGGACCCTCACATCTGGGAAGAGTCCTTGAGGAGAGAGGCAGGTGCTGAGAGGGACGGGGCCCGCAGCCTCCCTGCCCCCGCCCTCCTCTACCCTGCATAAACCGGAGGCCCACACTGCCCAGCACACGCGCAGGCCCCTGGGTGCCCAGCGTGCACCAGCTCCTCTGCACTCCCAGTGGGAGACCCAGACAGGGCAGGACACAGAGTTTAGGAACAGACGTAACCAGGATCAAGGTGGACATCAGGGCAAAGATAAGAACAAGCAAGCGAAAACCCCACTGGAGCCACAAATATCCCAGGGAGAGGAGGCCAGTGGTGGAGGAATTTGGGAGCAAAATGATTCGTCTCTTGAAAGGAATCAGGGTGGGCTGCCTGGAGGCTGAAGTTGACGGACGCTGTCAGACAGGAGGCTGCCCAGGACCAACGCAGGGGCACTCGCTGCAGGCTGCTGGCCTGGGCCAGAGCATGGCGGGCCGGATCACCAAGCAGGCAGGCAGACAGACCCGGGCCCCCGGCCCCACGTCAGGGTCAGTTGACCAAAAAACCCGAGGGGGCACAGTTCTTAGAGCAATAGCGACGAGGGCTTCCTCACCATAAACCAGAGAGAAGGTCACGGTCAGAGGCTGACGGGAGGCAGTGACCGGCTCCTCTAAAGGACAGGGGAGACCCCCAGGAGGAGGTGCATCCCTGGTGGACCGAGCACAGGACTCTGGGGGCAGTGGGGAGGCGTCGGGGCAGGCGCGGGGGCTTCCGTCACTGGCTGGGAGGGAGGCTGGAGCTGCCCGTCTCTGCCTGCACCATGCACTCTAGGACGCCACAGCCTGGGGAGGAAGAGAAGTGGGTTCCCTCTGGAGGGGCCCAGGAAGAGACGCTGGCCCCTGGAGTGGCGGCCCCCGGGGCAGGGGAAGGTAGGGCACGTAGCACACAAAGCCAGCAGAGAGGCCAAGTCCCCCACGGCCTCCTGCGCGGTGCAGTGGAGGCCGGGACGCTGAGACCCTCCAGTCACGAGGGGGCAGCCACGGCAGGCCTGCTCGTGGCCAAGGCTCCCAGGCAAGGCAGGCACACAGAGGCACAGCACACGGCGGGTGCGGGGGGCAGGAAGCGCTGGGGACAATGGCGGTGCTGGCTGCACCGAAGCTGCAGAGAGCTTGCCTAACCGTGGCTCACGGGCCCACGCTGTGCTGCTGTAGACTAAACTGCTAAACTGCCACCTGTGACACCAGCACCCCACACTGGAGCGCCAGTTCGAGTCCCGGCTGCTCCACTTCCCATGCAGCCCCCTGCTATGGCCTGGGAAAGCAGCGGAAGATGGCCCAAGCGCCAGAGCCCCTGCACGAGCATGGGAGACCAGGAGTTGCGAGCTGGCCTTGCGCCTGACCCAGCCCCGGACGTGGCAGCTACCTGGGAGTGAACCAGTGGATGGAGGATCTCTGTGGCTTTTTCAAGTAAATGAATAAACAAATCTTTAAAACAAACGCGGCTCAAGTTACACGTATTTCACCACCAGAGAGAAAGCTTTCAGGGGAAAAGTACTGAGACCCGAGGCTTCTCCACTCCAGGAAAAACCAGCCCCATCCCTCACACAAGCTCAGCCTTAGAGGGCCAGACATGGGTCTCAGGGGCCGGGCCAGGCTGCCAGGCAGAAGCCGAGAGAGCAGAAAAAGGGGTGACTCACCCTCCCGCCTGCCAGGGAGCGGTGCAGACAGGGCTCCTCGGTGGCCCGTGTCCTGTCCTCTCTGTCCCGCTGGAAGTGGAGGGGAGTGGCTCAGACTGGGGCAAACGCCCAACCCACCCACGCCTTGGGGGAGGCCCGGGGACAGAGAGGGCAAGGCAGGAAAGGGGCCGCCCCCTCCTCACACTAACAGGACTAGGGGAGCAGGGCACTTCTGGGGGGGGGGGCTGCCTCTGCTCCCCAGGGGACTGCCACTCAGGGCGGTGGCACCTGAGCAGAGGGGAACAGACGGGCAGGGGACCAGGGTGCACGGAGCAGCCCCTGACAAAGGCATTTCTGGCCCCTATGTGGGCAGTGCCTGTAGGGGGGGCACAGAAGCCCTGTGGGTTCGCAGCCCTAATGGAAGAGAAAGCAGATGTGACCCTCCCCCCGTCTTCCCTCTGCACAGCTGTCCCGAGAGGAATCTGAAATCCTGCCAGGAGGGAAACCTTCGAAGGTCCCAAGTTTGCTTATCACAAACTCTCCGGCCCAAGCAGCTGGATCCCTTACCACCAAAGCAGAGGGGAGAGGTGGCAGGTGGGGGTGGGCAGGACCACGTTCGTCTCTCTCCTGCAGGCTGCTCAAATCCCACCTTGGCCTGCCCCACTCCTTCTGGCCCTGCACTTGGCCTATGTCCGAGCTGTGTGCCCCCTCCCCGGTCCTCTCTCTCCTGCCTCAGTGTACCTTTGCTCCCCTAGCTCCTCACTGCTGCCCCCTACTGGAGAGGTGAGAGGATGCACCCTGGTCCCAAGCGCTCCCCCCAGGCTGCATGGACCTGGAGCGCTGGGCTAGGCTAAGAACAGCGTCTGGTGACTCCCTCCAGCAGCCTCCGGCCTCGGCACAGCCCCACACCTGCCTGGAGGTGACCTGGTCCTGCCTACGGATGCAGATTCTCCACGAGGGGTGGGGTGAGGGTTCCTCCCGGCCGAGCCATCCCGCCCGAGCCATCTCGCCCGACAGCAACAGCCCTTGGCAATCGTGGGCCCGTTAAGTTCTGAGCCACTGTCACACTTGACCTCATCTGATCCCTTCTGCCCACTTGCTCAGCCAGGGACAACAAGGGAGGGCACCGGGGCTGGGACCAGGTACCCAGCATCCGAGGCTGGGGCAGGTGTGCACCGGGCCAGGGGCCGTCCCAAACTCCCCCGCTGGCCCCCGCTCGGCGAGCTTGAGCCATGCTTACATTTCTTGCTAGACTTTTCAAAGCCCTCCCACAGCCTTCCTCTTCTCCCCGCACTCTCCTTCAGAGTGGGGTTACTTTTCTTTTTCCCAAACTCCATCCCGACGTACACCAAGGCCACTGAGCACCGTGTCACACGCGGCACCAACGCGTGTGTGGCCAGCAGCCCAGGCACACACCCCCGCACCTGATTATCACCGCCCCAGCGGACCCCCGAGTTCCCCGGGGGCTCCAAGCAGCTCTGCCCTGAACTCTCCCCAAGTGGGGGGACCAGGACCCACAGAACCCGGGCAGCTGGGGTGGAGGGGGCAGGAGTCACGGCCCAAACTCCCACAGGTCGGCAGCAAAGGGGGGGTGGGGGCCGGCGCCGCGGCCAGCTGTCAGCCGGGAGGGGCAGTGGCGCTGACCGGTGCTCGGGAAAGCCGCGCTTGGAGAAGCAAGAGCGGAGCGAGACTGGGGTGGCTGGAGGGAGGATCCGGCCAGCAAGTATTTATTCGGCCGCGCCCGCACCGGGATGCCGCTGACCTGGACGCTGGTGGCAACTCCAGGGACGACCAGGGGCGAGGGTCTCCCTAAAGTTACGCGAGGAAAAGGCAAAGTGTGAGCGCCCGGGGCGCTGCTGCACCGACGGGGCACCGCGGGGGCACGGGCGGCGGGGGAGCCTTCCAGGTCGGCCCGAGTCGTGGAGCGCCCGCCCTGGACGCCCCGCGGGGCCCGGGGCGCGCGGGCCCGGGGCAGGGGCCCCGCGGGCGGGAGGGGCCCGGGCAGGGCTCCGCAGGGGCGACCGTTAGCAGCGCGCGGGTGGGCGGCGCGGGCCGGGCCGGGAGGACGGCGTGCCCTTCAGGGAGGGGCGCCGGCCGCCCCCCCACCCCGAGCCCGCGCCGAGGCGGGCCCGCTCCGGGGGAGGGTCCCGCGGCGGGGAGGGGCGGAGGGCGGACGCACCGGGCGGCGGAGGCGGCGGCGGCCTCCGGGAGGAGACGGGGAGAGTCCGTGCCGGCGGCCCGCGCGCTGGCTCCGGCTCCCGCTGGCTCGGCGCGGCCGCCGCGGCGTCGGGGGCGGGCCTGCCCCGGGGCCGGCTGCGGGCCGGGGTCCGCGGAGCCGCCGAGCGCTTACCGCGGCCGGCGGGCGGCGCGAGGGCTCGGTCCTGGGGCGTTGGCGGCGCGCGGCGGGCGGCGAGCGGCGGGCGGCGGCGCGCGGCGGGCCGGGGGGCGGCGGCGGCGGCGGCGGCGGCGGCGGCGGCGGGGGAGGGGGCGCTGGCGCTCCCGCGGCGGCCGCTCCTCTCTGTTTGTGTTTGTAGCAAGATGGCTGCCCGCCTCGCACCACGTGACGCGGACGCGGGGCCGCCCCCTCCGCCGCCGCCGCCGCCCGCCGCCGCCCGCCGCGGCCGGGGCCCGCTCGGACCCGCACCCCCGAGCCTCTGGCTTTCCCCGCGTGCCCGCCGGGGCGCAGCCCGGACGCCCGCCGCCCCCGAGTCTAGCCTCACACCGCCACCCCCGGCACGTGACCCGGGTGCCCGGCTCGTCACGTGACGCGGGGCCCCCGGCTGCAGGCCGGGGAAGGGGTGTCCCCGGGGTGCTGCCTGCGCGCGCCCCCGCGGCACGTGACCCGCGCCCCTGGGGATGGCAGCTGCGGCCTGTGAGGGGCATCCCGGGTTTCTTCTGGCCGGCCGGCTTCCTCCAAGCAGCCCTCCTGGATTGGAGGAGGAGACAAAGTGCAACACTGTTCTGATGAACTCCTGGGATATAGGAAATGAGCAAAACCCCTGATCTAGAAACGGCCCGAGGCACCGCTGGCTGGTGACACCTGGAGTTTCTGACCGCTGTCGTCGCCTCTTACAGTTCCGTTGCCTTTAAAAAATAATTATATATATATATTTATTTATTTGAAAGGCAGAGTTAGAGTCTTCCATCTGCTGTTTCACTCCCCAGATGGCCACGGGAGCCAGGATTGTGCCAGACTGAAGCCAAGAGCTTCCTCTGGGTCCCCCACGTGGGTGCAGGGGCCCAAGCACTTGGGCCATCTTCCTCTGCTTTCCCAGGTGCATTAGCAGGGAGCTGGATCAGAAGTGGCGCAGTGGATACCGTAGGTGTCTGTGGGATGCTGGTGCTGCAGGCTGCAGCTTAACCCGTTATGCCACAGCCACTCCCTGAATGGCCACAGCAGCCAAGGGGGCTGGACAGGCTGGAGCCAGCAGCCGGGAACTCCATCTGGGTCTCCCACCCCCGAATACTTGGGCCGCCACCTGCTGCCTTCCCAGGTGCATTGGCAGGGAGCTGGATCAGAGGTGGGGGGCTAGCAGGGACTCAAACCCGCGCTCCGATGTGGCCGCAGCGCCCACCCCTGGACAGCAAAGATTTTTAAGGCATATTTTAGGCATCCTGAAGATTGTTCATTAACCGGGCTTGTTGTTAATGATGACACAGGATGGGCCTTCACGTTAACTGCGTGCGTGCAGAATTGCTCCCTGCCACAAGCTGGGTTCTTTGGTGGAGCAAATAGACCCCCTTGGCAAGTCAGCCCTGACCCCCGGCTTGCTAAGTGCACCTGCCCATCATCATGAATTTATCACCCACGGGCAGCCCGCGTCGCAGCCGCTCGTTGCTCGCTCCAGGAGCCGGATCTCCCAGGGTTTCCTCCTGCCACTCAGGCTGTGCTGGTCTCCGCCCGCCCTCCCGGGGTTCAGGGCTTCAACACGCGCCCCCTCCCCGTTCCAGGACGTGGGCTCCGCGGTCAGACATTCTCGGCTGAGTCCTCGCTACCTCTGGAAACCCTAGGCTGTTCCTCCCACCCCCGCAAGGGGGCGGCGTGTTCGCGGAATCCCGTGCATGCCCCTGCATCTAGGCGCAGGTCCTGCTGTCCTGCTTAGCGGCCCTAGGGGCTGGCTCTGTGGGCTAGACCGCGGCTCGCGACACTGGCATTGCGTGTCGGAGCCCTGGTTCGAGTCCCACCTGCTCTGCTTCCGATCCAACTCCCTGCTAATGCATCTGGGAAAGAAAGCATCGGAAGAGGGGTATTCTTGGGGAAATCAGTTGTTAAGTACTTGCCATGCACATGGGAGACCCCTGGCTCCTGGACTTGTGGCCATCCGGGGGAGTAACCAGTGGATGGGAGACCACTCTCTCTCTGTCTCTCCCTTTCCCTCTGTGTCTTTGCCTGTAAAATAATTAATTATAATAAAACTAAAATAAAAGCTGACATAACCAGTGTTCACAACAGGCATCCCTAACCCAGCCCGCATTGCTGTCCAGTATTCCGTGGTGTGGACATTCCGCGGTTTACCAATTCCTGCACGGAAAGACCTCTGCCTTGTTTCCAGCCTGGAGCTATTGCAAAGAAAACTGTGGATGGCCACCACTGTGCAGGTTTTTAAATGTCCGGGGGTGCTTTTTCCCGAGTCATATGGTGTCTGTCTCATTTTAGAAGAAACTGCAGGGGTCAGTGCGTGGCCTAGTAGGCTAAGCCTTCACCTGCAATGCCGGCATCCCACATAGGTGGCCAGTTCGAGCCCCGGCTGCTCCACTTCCGATCCAGCTCTCTGCTATGGCCTGGGAAAGCAGTAGAAGATGGCCCAAGTCCTTGGGCCCCTGCTCCCGCGTGGGAGACCCAGAAGAAGCTCCTGGCTTTGGATTGGCCCAACTCCGGTTGTTGTGGCCATTTGGGGAGTGAACCAGCAGATGGAAGACCTCACGCTCTCTGTGTCTCTCCCTGTCCGTGTCTGTAGCTCTGCCTCTAAAATAAATAAATAAATCTTAAACAAAGAAGAACTTGCCAAGCCGTTTTCCGGAATACCTGCTCCATGGTTCAGGTCCACAAGCCCTGTGTGCCAGCGCCAGGCTGCCTGCCTGCTTCCCACACTCGAGTTGTGGATACTTTGTATCTTAGCCTCTCTGGGGAGACGGTGGTGCTGCTTCCTCCTGGTCTCTGTGCACAGTTCCTTAAAGGCTGATGCAGTTGTACAGCTTTTAATTTTAATGTGTATCTATTTTCATCTACTTGAAAGGCAGAGTGATCGAGGGAGGGGGAGAGGAGAAAGAGAGAGAGAGAGAGCGCGAGGAAGTGCTATCTTCCACCTGCTAGTTCACTCCCTAAGTCGCTACAACAGCTAGCAAGGGGCCAGGCTGAAGCTAAGAGCCTGGAGTTCCCTCTGGAACTCCCACGTGGGTGGCAGGGACTGAAGCAGTTGTGCCGGTCCTCTGCTGCCTTCCCAGGATGCATTAGCAGGAAGCTGGATCAGAGGCTGGGTGGCTGGAACTGGAACCTGCTCTCTGATACGGGAACACATTTGACTTCATGCGGCCACACGCCTGCCCCGGAACTGACATCTTGAGATGCGCTTGTTTTAGCCCCATCGTTACCCACCCCCCCTTCTCCTGATGTATCTACTCAAGGCTTCTGACCTGGGGCCATCCCTGTAGCGTAGCTGGTAAAGACTCCGCCTGCAGTGCCAGCATCCCTATTCAACGCCAGATGGAGACCCAGCTGCTCCACTTCCCATCCAGCTCTCTGCTGTGGCCTGGGAAAGCAGCAGAAGATGGCCCAAGTCCTTGGGCCCCTGCACCCACGTGGGAGACCCAGAGGAAGCTCCTGGCTTCAGATCATCACAGCCCTGGCCATTGTGGCCATTTGGAGACTGAAACAGCAGATGGAAGACTTCTCTGTGTGTGTCTCTCCCATTTTCTCTCTGTATCTCTGCGTTTCAAATAAATTAATTTTTTAAGACTTCTGCACATTTTCTTTTTTTTTTCCTTTTTTTTTTTTTTTTTGACAGGCAGAGTGGACAGTGAGAGAGAGACAGAGACAAAGGTCTTCCTTTTGCTGTTGGTTCACCCTCCAATGGCCGCCATGGCTGGTGCGCTGCGGCCAGCGCATCGCGCTGATCCGAAGCCAGGAGCCAGGTGCTTTTCCTGGTCTCCCATGGGGTGCAGGGCCCAAGCACTTGGGCCATCCTCCACTGCACTCCCTGGCCACAGCAGAGAGCTGGCCTGGAAGAGGGGCAACCAGGACAGAATCCGGCGCCCCGACCGGGACTAGAACCCAGAGTGCTGGCGCCACAAGGCGGAGGATTAGCCTAGTGAGCCGGCCTATGCACATTTTCTAATTGGGTTGTCTGTGGCCGACTTCTTGAGCATAGAGAGTTCTTTATATATTCTGGATACAAGTCCTTTGCTGCCTAAGTGATTTGCAAACATTTTCTCCCCGTGCATGGCTTCCCTTTTCATCCTATTAACATGTTTCACAGAGCCAGTTTTTAAATTTTGTTAAAGTCCAATTTCTCAATTTTCCCTGAATGGATTTTGTTTTTGGGACAATTTCCAGGAGCCCCCTGCCTGACCCTACGTCATGAAGATTGTTCCCTACATTTTCTCCTAATAGCTTTACAGCTTCAGCTTTTGCTACTTAGATTACCATCCATCTCCTATTATTTATTTCTTGTCCACAGAGGACCGAGGTTAGTTTCTTTTGCCTGTTTGCCAGTGTGGACACTGGTTGAAAAGACCATCCTCTGCCCACCGGACCATTTTTACATTTGTCAAAACGGGCCGGCGCCGCGGCTCAATAGGCTAATCCTCCGCCTAGCGGCGCCGGCACACCGGGTTCTAGTCCCGGTCGGGGCGCCGGATTCTGTCCCGGTTGCCCCTCTTCCAGGCCAGCCCTCTGCTGTGGCCAGGGAGTGCAGTGGAGGATGGCCCAGGTGCTTGGGCCCTGCACCTGCATGGGAGACCAGGAAAAGCACCTGGCTCCTGGCTCCTGCCATCGGATCAGCGCGGTGCGCCGGCCGCAGCGCGCCGGCCGCGGCGGCCATTGGAGGGTGAACCAACGGCAAAAGGAAGACCTTTCTCTCTGTCTCTCTCTCACTGTCCACTCTGCCTGTCAAAAAAAATAAATAAATAAATAAAAAACATTTGTCAAAACGAGTTGGCTCCACCTGCGTGAGCCTTTTTCTAGGTTTTCTATTCTGTTCTAGTGATTTTTGGGTCTGTCCCCCTGCAGATACCACATCTTTTTTTTTTTTAAATATTTATCTGAAATGCACATTGTTAGAGAGGGAGTGACAGAGAAAGGTCTTCCATCCACTGGTTCACTCCCTAAACGGCCACAATGGCCGGGGCTGGGACAGGCTGGAGTCAGCAGCCAGAAACTCCCTCCTGATGTCCCACATGGGTGCAGGAGCCCAAGCACTTGGGTCACCTCCCGCTGCTTTGACAGGCGCATTAGCAAGGAGCGGGATCTGAAGCGGAGTGGCTGGGATGGGAAACAGCTTCACCTGCTGTGCCGTGACACCAGCCCCTGTTGTTTTCTTTATTGTGACTTGTTTTTTCTTTTTGTCCTCTCTTATTCTTTTCTTGATTATTAATATACTAATTCTTAAATTCAATGGCAGGATCCCAGCATTTTATTTTTTTAAATATTTTTTTTTTGAGAGGCAGAATCACAGAGAGGGAGAGACAGAGAAAGGTCTTCCTGGTTCACTCCCCAAATGGCCACAATGGCAGAAGCTGAGCTGATCAGAAGCCAGGAGCTTCTTCCAGGTCTCCCACATGGGTGCAGGGGCCCAAACACTTGGGCCGTCTTCTACTACTTTCCAAGGCCGTAAGCAGAGAGCTGGATCGGAGGTGGAATAGCTGAGACTTGAACCGGCAGCCATATAGGATGCTGGCGCCGCAGGCAGAGGCTTAGCCTACTACGCCATAGTGCTGGCCCCCATTTTCTTTTTTTAAAAATTGATTATTTAAGGCCGGCGCCGCGGCTCACTAGGCTAATCCTCCGCCTAGCGGCGCCGGCACACTGGGTTCTAGTCCCGGTCGGGGCGCCGGATTCTGTCCCGGTTGCCCCTCTTCCAGGCCAGCCCTCTGCTGTGGCCAGGGAGTGCAGTGGAGGATGGCCCAGGTGCTTGGGCCCTGCACCCCATGGGAGACCAGGAAAAGCACCTGGCTCCTGGCTCCTGCCATCGGATCAGCGCGGTGCGCCGGCCGCAGCGCGCCGGCCGCGGCGGCCATTGGAGGGTGAACCAACGGCAAAGGAAGACCTTTCTCTCTGTCTCTCTCTCTCTCACTGTCCACTCTGCCTGTCAAAAAAAAAAAAAAAAATTGATTATTTATTTGAAAGAGAGAGACGAAGACAGATGTTCTGTCAATAGGTTCAATGAAGCCAGGACCTCCATTCTGGTCCCCTATGTGAGCTGTATCTGCTGCCCTTCCAGACCCACCAACAGGAGGCTGGGTGTGAGGCAGGATACAGGGGGTATCCCTCTGATAGGGATTCAGGCGTCCCAAGTGGCAGCGTCACAAAGTCAAGCCCCGGCTGCTCCACTTCCAACCCAGCTCCCTGCTGACGTGCCTGGGAAAGCAGCGCATAATGGCCCCAGCATGTGGACCCCTGCCACTCAGGTGGGAGACCCAAATGGAGTTCCTGGCTCCTGGCTTGGGCATGGCCCAGCCCAGCCCCGACCAGTGCAGCCATCCGGGGAATGACCCAGCAGATGGAAGATTCTCTCTCTCTCTCTGTCTCCCTGCCTTTCAAATACTTTTTGAAATAGCTCGTTTAGATCTACCAAGATTCTTGCATGAAATCTGTAGACGAATTCGGAGAGAACGGACGTCTTTATTCTGTTGACCACTTCAACCTCACCCCTGTGGAATGGATCGGAAGCTACTGACGGCACGGGGCTTACATGGTGCTGGGAGCCAAGTCCTCGGGAATCTGAGCTCTTTGCAATCTTTGCTCAAATGGCTTCAGACTCTGGCCTCTGCGGCCGGAGAAGAGCCGCGCCAGCTCATTTATACCAGGGTACAGCTGACGAGACGGCATGTGGGATATGGGGAAACTGAGGCAGGGCATGCCCGAGGGTCCAGCCCAGAAGCTGGAGCGCCCCCTCCCCACGCCCTGGGGAGTCCGGAACCCCGCGCGTGGCCACCACTCCTTGCCCACCAGGGGGCGGCACATCCTTGCCACCCCGTGGGGGCAGCGGCTGCAGCCGGCCTGAGATAGCTGAGGGGTGTAGGGTGGTCAGCGCGCACGGGGACAGTCGGGAGGTCCCCGGCGGAGTCTGGGGATGAGGCCGGATCGCGCGACCTGCGGGAGGGGGCGGGGGTCTCGGAGCCCCGTCCTCCGGCGAGGTGGCCTTGCCGCTCAGTCCCCGGTCCGGCCTTGGGCGGGAGGCCGGCGCTGCCCATCAGACCGGAGGAACTGCTGGGGACGCGGGAGTCCCTGACTCGCCTCCAGGCCTCTTCGCCATCGAGGCCTTCTGAGTTCACCCTACTCCCTGCTCGCTTCGGAAGCCCTCGTAGAGGACCCCCAGCCAACTTGCTTCTCCCACCCCCGGGAGACCCCTCCGCGGGCCGAGAACTTGGGACTTGGCGGGAGGCAGCCGACCCCGCCCTCTCGGGAGCTCCGCCCCAGCTTGGACTCGGGCCCCGCCCCTGAGGCGTCTACGTGGTAGATCCCGCCCGGAAGCCTCGCGTTACCCAAACGCGTCGCGCCGTCGCGAGAGCGCTCGGGAAAGGGGCGGGGAGAACGGAGGCCGGGAAGGTGATTCGCGGGTCGCGCGCGACCGGCGCGCGTGCGCACTGCGCAGCCTTCGCCGGAGGCCCTCGTCGCCAGGGCGCGCGACCGCGGGGGTGAGCGTGTTGCCAGCCGCCGTGCATCTCCCGTCCCTGCGGCCGGTGGGTAGCGGGCGGCACCCTCGAGTGGCCCGGCGCGGGGTGGACGGCGCGTGGGAGGGGAAAAGGGGGGCTGAGGGCGGAGGGGACGGGGGTCGTCGAGCGCGCTCCCTTCCTGATGTCCGTTTTCCCGTGCCAGGGCGCACGGCATGGCGGAAAACCGAGAGCCCCGCGGGCCCGTGGAGGCGGAGCTGGACCCGGTGGAGTACACCCTCCGCAAGCGGCTGCCCCACCGCCTGCCCCGGAGGCCCAATGACATTTACGTCAACATGAAGACGGACTTTAAGGCGCAGCTGGCCCGCTGCCAGAAGCTGCTGGACGGAGGCGCGCGGGGCCAGAACGCGTGCACGGAGATCTACATTCATGGCTTGGGCCTGGCCATCAACCGCGCCATCAACATCGCCCTGCAGCTGCAGGCCGGCAGCTTCGGGTCCTTGCAGGTGGCCGCCAACACCTCCACTGTGGAGCTGGTGGACGAGCTGGAGCCGGAGACCGACGCGCGGGAGCCGCTCACTCGAATCCGCAACAACTCGGCCATCCACATCCGAGTCTTCAGGGTCACGCCCAAGTGATTGATTGACTGTCCCTTGTCCCACCCCTGCCGCCCTTTTCCCGCCCCCCTGCACAGCCGGGCCCAGATGGGGGCTCCTCCAGCCGGAGCCACGGAGGACAAGGCCTGTTATCTTGTTGGGCCCACACAGTGGGTCTTCCCGGCATCTGTGGCTGCTGTCCCATGCAGTAGGGACAGCAAGTGCTAGTGGCCCTGCCACCCCCACCCCGGCCTCTTCGCCGCTGCAGTAGGGGAAGGAGGGGGCTTTCCAAGGGGACCCGGCGCGGTTCCTGCCTGCACGGGTGATCCGGGTGATCCCGCGCTGACAGCAGCCGGGAGCAAGTTGTCCAGGCTCTCGAGAAAGTGACCTCAGCAGGGTGGCTGGACAACCGGGATGGGCCAGGCTCGGGGAAGGGGAGGGTTTAAGTATGGGAGGGAGCCGACCGACTGGGGGTGGGCCGGGGGCTCCTGGACCGGAACCCCTGCAAGAGGCTCCCGGGTGGCTGTGGCCTGGTGACCCACAAGTGCTCTGGCCGGGCTGCTTCAGTGACACAGGAAGGCCCCCCACCCCCATAACTGCTCACAGACAATAAACACTCGTTTGGATCTTTGTGAGATGGCCTGGTTTTTTATATTTACCAAATGAGAATCCCCTCAGGCCGGTACTGTGGTACGGTTGCTGCCCTGGCTGCCTGCAGCACCGGCACCCCACGCGGGCGCTGGTTCCTGTCCCGGTAGCTCCACTTCCGTTCTAGCTCCTCGCTGGTGCGCCTGGGAAAGCAGCAGAAGTGCTTGGGCACCTGCGCCCATGTGGGAGACCCAGACGAGGCTCCTGGCCTTGGAGCAACCCAGCTCCGGCTGTTGTGGCCAGCTGGGGAGTGAATCAGCGGATGGGAGAGTCTTTGTTTCTCCCTCTCTACAAACTCTGCCATCAAATTAATAATCAAATCTTTAAAAAATGAGGGTTACCACAACAGTGTTTGTAAAGATGGGTGGTGACCCTGGTGTGGCCCTTGAGATCAGTATATTGGGTAAAGCCAGGTTTTTTTTTTTTTTTTTTTTAAGGATTTATTTATTTGAAAGGCAGAGTTACAGAGAGGCAGAGAGAGAGAGAGAGGTCTTCCATCTGCTGGTTCACTCCCCAAATGGCTGCAACAGCTGGAGCTGGGCCAATCTGAAGCCAGGAGCCAGGAGCTTCTGGGTCTCCCACGTGGGTGCAGGGGTCCTAGGACTTGGGCCATCTTCTACTGCCTTTTTTTTTTTTTTTTTTTTAAAGTGCCGTTTCACTGGAATGCTCTGTGGAAGGTGCTTCGGTCAGGGATGTGTGGACAGCGAGCCCTGCGTCGGGTTCCACATCCATGCATTCAGACTGAAAACATTTGTTCTGAAAACACTGTGTCCTGAACATGTGCAGACTTGAAATTTTTGTTCTTTCCTAAACAAAATGGCAACTTTATAATATTTATATTGTATTAGGTATTTTAAGAAGTGTAGAGATCTAAAGTGTAGGTGAGGAGGTATGTAGAATCTATGCAAATACTGCACGATTTTATTATTTTGAAGGCAGAGAAGGAGAGACAGAGATCTTCCATCTACTGGTTCACTCTCCAAATGGCTGCAGTAGCCAGGGCTGGGGCAGCCTGAAGCCAGTAGTGGCAGGCTCCATCCAGGTCTCCCACATGGGTGGCAGGGGCACAAGCACTCGGGTCATCGTCCACCGCTTTCCCAGGTGTGTGAGGCTGGATTGGAAGAGGAGCAGCCGGGACTCAAGCCGGCACCCTGATAGGGATGCTGGTGTCACAGGTGGCGACTGAACCCGCTGTACCCCAAGTTTGCCATCTTACATAAGGGACTTGAGCTCCCATGGATTTTGGTATGGGGAAGTTTCCAGAAACCATCTCCAGGGGGTGACTACTATACACATGGGCCAGATAGGACGAAAGCTGGACTTCCGGCTGTTGTTGGAGGTCACAGAACTTCAACGCCTCTAAGGGCCAGTGACGATTTAATCCTAGGCCGAGTGGAAGTAGGTCGGTTTGGAAGCATGAAAGCCAGGCTTGTGTGTGTGTGGCACAGACCCTGTTCTCAAGGTGCTCGCCATCTGAGGGTGGATGAGTAAGATGGATTGCGTTGTTATCAAGAGGACCTGTGATAAAGAAATGTGGACGCCGAAAGGGCTCACCTCCTGCTGGAGTCCAGAGGAGTTTCTCCTTTGACCTGGGTGTTGAAGGGTGAGTAGGAGTTTGCGGAGCAGAGAAAGGAGAGGGCGTGTGTGGCGAAGGGGTCAATGGAGGGAACGCCAACAAGGCAGGAGGCTGCTGCCACCTCCATCTGGCCACCCCGTGCCATTGGCCTTGACGGCCAGCTCCTTCACCCTGCTTTCCCCCACTGCGGGGCGGGAAGCTTCGGGAAGCCGGACGGCCTGTGTGTCTCCCTGCACGTATGTATTTTGGTTTCCGCGTGCCTGGCCGGGGCCCAGGCCAGGCGGTGGCAGGCAGCCCTGCTGTTTGGTTTGCTTTGGCAGCTCTGGCTCCCACACTGTTTATGTGTTGTTTCTAGTACATGTTTTCTCACTGCTTGCCAGGAGGGCTTCCCTCCGTGGCAGCTCCGCAGAAACAGCCCCTAGATGTCGCCACTGGAGGCAGAGAGGGTCTGGGGGCTTGCTCTGGGAGTGTGGAGCAGGTCGGGGGTGTGGACACGGCCCCTTCATCCCCTGGGGCCCACACATGGTGGGAGGGGCGGGGAAGGAACCCTGAGGGCTCTCCAGTTCCGTCTGCGTCCCCCTCTGTAGAGAAGCACCTGCCTCCTGGCTCTGCGTGGTGATGTCCGTCCCAGCCTGGGAAAATGGGAGGAGGGGCAGAGGTGTGTGCAAAGGCTGGGCCCCTTGGCTCCCTCCTTCTCACTCTACAGGGGCAGAGCCCACAATGAATAGGAAGTGACTTCCTGCTTCAGAACCATCCCCAGAGGCCAGCATTGAAATCCAGGTGCTGGCCGGCGCCGCGGCTCAATAGGCTAATCCAATGCCTGCAGAGCCGGCACACCGGGTTCTAGTCCCGGTCGGGGCACCGGATTCTGTCCCGGTTGCCCCTCTTCCAGGCCAGCTCTCTGCTGTGGCCCGGGAGTGCAGTGGAGGATGGCCCAAGTGCTTGGGCCCTGCACCCCATGGGAGACCAGGAGAAGCACCTGGCTCCTGCCTTCGGATCAGCGCGATGTGCTGACCGCAGCGCACCGGCCACGGCGGCCATTGGAGGGTGAACCAACGGCAAAAGGAAGACCTTTCTCTCTCTCTCACTGTCCACTCTGCCTGTCAAAAAAATAATAATAATAATAAATAAATAAATAAAATAAATCCAGGTGCTTGTCATGGAGAAGAGAGGCGGCTGACTGCGACCCATCTCGCTCCATGCAGGGGTCTGTGTTAGGCACCAGGCCGCAATGGAAACTGTAAAGTCGCCTTATAAAGTCAGAAAGAGGCCGGTGCCACGGCTCACTAGGCTAATCCTCCACCTGCGGCACCGGCACACCAGGTTCTAGTCCCGGTTAGGGTGCCGGTTCTGTCCCGGTTGCCCCTCTTCCAGGCCAGCTCTCTGCTGTGGCCCGGGAGTGCAGTGGAGGATGGCCCAAGTGCTTGGGCCCTGCACCCCATGGGAGACCAGGAGAAGTACCTGGCTCCTGGCTGCAGATCGGCTCAGTGCACCAGCCGTGGCAGCCATTTGGGGGGTGAACCAATGGAAGGCAGACCTTTCTCTCTGTCTCTCTCTCTCCCTGTCTAACTCTGCCTGTCAAAAAAAAAAAAACAAAACAAAACAAAACAAAAAAAAGCTTTATTTATTTGAAAGGAAGAGCATCAGGGAGAGGGAGAGACAGATCTTCCACCTGCTGGTTCACGCCCCAAGTGCCTGCAACAGCCAGGGCTGGGCCAGGCTGAAGCCAGGAGCCGGGAACTCCATCCGGGTCTCCCATGAGGTGGCAGGGGCCCAAGCACTTGGAGCATCGTCCGCTGCCTTCCCAGGTGCATTAGCGGGGACGGCCCGTTCTAGGCTCCTTAATGGGAATGGGGAGAAGGAAAGGATTCGTGTGTGTGTAAGTCGCAAATCTGGGGTACTTGTGGCTTCGGTTAGTTTTCGGTTACACTAACAGAGGGTGGGTACTTTACACAGAGAAGAGGCTGACTTAGCTCTCAGTTCCGGAAGTCCAAGGGCATGGCACCAGCATGGGCTTGGCTCTGGTGAAGGCCCCAGAACAGACGGACGGCCCAGCAGTGCTAAGATCACATGGTGAGACAAAGAGCTAGAGAGTCGGGGGTCATTCTTGTGATTTACTCATGTGCGAGAGACACAGGGGCTCCCACCCACTGGTTCACTCCCCGAATGCCAGCAGCAGTCAGAGCTGGGCTGGGGCTGGGGCCAGGAGCTGGGAGCTCCGTCCAGGTCTCCCATGTGGGTGTCAGGAACCTAACTGCTCGAGCCATCACTGCTCCCTCCTAGGGTCTGCATCGGCAGGAAGCTGGACTTAGGACCGGGAATTGAAACCAGGCACTCTGACATGGGGTGCAGTGTGTTAGCCACTGAACACCTGCTCCAGTATAACTACCCCACACAAGGAATACCCAGGGTCCCACAGTTCCTTCCAAGGGGGATGTCCCCGTGCCTTCCCACTAGGCCACACCTCTTCAAGGTCTCACCACCTTAACATCACCACACTGAGGACAAACCCAGACCATATCCAAACCACAGCACTTGCTTCACAGCTGGGGGTGGGGACGCGGCCCTTGGGACACAAGAACTGGCTACAGTGGGCTGATGACCCTCCAGAGAGGACCTGGGTCTGCTCCCAGGTGAGCTCCTGGGGCTTGCTCAGGTGTTGGGGGGGTAGAGCAACATGTCCCACGTCCCATAAGCCCTTGAGCCTCTGGAGGAGTTGGACAACCAGTAAGCGTCCAACCTCATAGAGTCTTGGGGATGAGGCAGTGGTCATCCCACCACAAGGGAACTCTGGGAAAATGGCCACTTGCAACTCCACCTTCCTGATGGCGTGATGGGTGCTACGTAATTTACACAGTTGAGTTGAGCAGTGTTTTCTAGTTGTTCGATGAGCATGTATTATTTCTGTAATAAGAAGTTAAGTGTTTACTGTTTATATAATAACTGTTTCTATAATAAATGTTTCTATAATAAATGTTTCTGATTAATGCTTTGTTAGGCAAAGTGATTGTGGAGTTATAAAACGATGTGATAACATCAAGAAGTGATTTTTTAAAAAAGTGTTTATTCAGTTTTTATGTATCTGAAAGCAAGAGCAAGCACGAGGCAGATATCTCTTCCACCTGCTGGTTCACTTCCAAAGTGCCCACAATAGCTGAGGCTGGGCCGGTTGGAAGCCAGGAGCCAGGAATTCCAACAGGGCCTCCCACGGGGGTGGCAGGAGCTCAAGTACTTGAGCCATTGTGTGCTGTCTCCCAGGTGCGTTAGTGGGAAGCTGAATTGGGAGTGGAAGTGGGACTCAAACCCACACTCTGGTGTGGGCTGCAGGCGTCCCAAGCAGCATTTTAACTGCTGCACCCAACACCCTCCCTGTTTTGTTTAAGTCAGGACTTTCTAAGCAGAGATGCAGAG